CTTCTTTCCAGATGGTCCATAACAACTTCATAACGGAGCCAGAACCTAAATTGGGGAGAAAAGAGGAGGGCCAATGACAGAGGGGGACAGGGACAGGTGGAACTAAGGACCAGCCTCTTGTAGCAAGATGGCATATGTGCAAAAAGCCATGAGCAACAAAAACCAAACTAACAATCCAATTTAATAACAGGCAAAGGAGTTCAAGACCAGCCTAGTGAGACTGCATCTCCACCAAAAAAATCAAAAAATTAGCCAGGTATGGTGGAGGTGGAGTGCACCTATAATCCCAGTTACTCGGGAAGCTGACACTGGAGGATCGCTTGAGCCCAGGAGTTTAAGGCTGTGGTGAGCCTTAAACACTTTCAAAAAAGTCACCCCACTTCCAGCCTTGGCAACAAAGTGAGACCCTAACTATAAATAAACAAACAAACAAATAAATAAAATGTGCAAAGGGCTTAAAATTTTCTTCAGAGAAGAAAATGGCCAGGAAGAAGATGAAAAAACACTCAACATCACTAATCATCAGAGAAACGTGAACCAACATCACAATAAGATATCACCTCACACTCACTAGGCTGGCCACTATTAAAAAAAAAACAAACAGAAAACAAATTGGCGAGCATGTGGAGCAACTGAAGACCCGGCACACTACTGTTGGTGGAAATGTAAAATGGTAAAGCCACTCTGGAAATGGTAAGGAGGAAAAATAGAATTACCATATGATCTAGTAATCCCACTTCTGGGTATAAACCCAAAAGAACTGAAAACAGGATCTTAAAGAGACATGTCTAAGCACATGCGTACAGCAGCATTATTCACAACAGCCAAGAGATAGAAGCAACCTAAACGTTCATAATGGATCAAGGAAATGTGATAGAAACACACAATGAAATATTCAACCTTAGCCGGGCTCGGTGGCTCAGCCTGTAATCCCGCGCTTTGGGAGGCTGAGGTGAGTGGATTGCCTGAGCCCGTGGGTTCGAGACCCGCCTGTGCAACCTGGCAAGACCTCATCTCTACAATAAATAAAAAAATTAGCTGGGCGTGGTAGCGCACACCTATGGTTCCAGCTACTTGGAAGGCTGAGGCGGAAGGATTGCTGGAGCCCAGCAGGTCGAGGCTGCGGTAGCCGGAAGTGTGCCACTGCACTCCAGTCTGGGCAACGGAGTGAGACTCCAACTCAAAAAAAAAAAAAAAAGAAATATTCAGCCTTAAGAAAAAAAAGAAGGAAAGCCTGTCATATCCTACAACATGGATGAAGCTTGAGAATGTCATGCTAAATGAAATAAGCTTGTCATAAAAGGACAAGCACTGCATGATTCCACTTACATGAGATCTAAAGTAGTCAAACTCTTAGAAACAGAAGTAGAATGGTGGTGTCCAGGGATGAAAGAATTGTCCTTCAATGGATGCAAAGCTTCAGTTTTGTAAGATAAATTTTTAGAGATCTGTTGCACAACAATGTGCATAGAGTTATCAACACTACACACTTAAAAATGATGAGGATGGTAAATCTATGTTATAAATATATATGTATATATATATGTTTTTTTTTTTTTTTGAGTTGGAGTGTCACTCTGTTGCCCAGGCTGGAGTGCAGTGGCACACTCACAGCTACCCAAGCGTTGACCTGCCAGGCTCTGGCGATCCTTCCACCTCAGCCTTCCAAGTAGCCAGAACTACAGGCATGCACTACCATGCCCAGCTAATTTTTTGCTTATTGTAGAGACACGGTCTCGCCAAGTTGCCTGGGCTGGTCTCGAACCCCTGGGCTCAGGCAATCCACTCACCTCGGTCTCCCAAAGTGCTGGGATTACAGGCTGAGCCACCGAGCCTGTCCTGTTTTATATTTTTGACCACAACTAGCCAAAAAAAAAAAAAGGCAGAATGAAAGTGGATGCTGTGAGATGCCCCCTCTTTCTCCAGTACCCAGGTAGAGTGTCTTACTGAAGGGATGATACAGTAACTATGTGAAACAGAAGAAAAATAGCTCTGCATACAATTCATTCAGTGGGACTCTCCACAGTATCATTAGCCACCAAGGCCCCAGTTCTGCCTTCTTGGCTCTCTTTGCTAAATCTTCCTTGTGGTCCTCACTGCTGTTCCTGTACCCAGAGATGGCCCCTTCTTGATACTGATCTGCAGTCATACAGAACCCTTTGTCTTGCCCCTCTGGAAACAAGTTCTCAGCCACACGGAGGTTATCCTTCCTTGGGGAAAGAAAATATTTTCATAAGAGCAAACTCTGGCTCTAGGCTGGACGCCCCAAAGAGCATCGTGTGTTGTGCTGCCACCAGGCCACGGCCTCCTCTCTGTTCTGAATCATGACCTCAGGCCATGCTTTGATTTATGGATGGGTCAGCCTCTTAACTTTCTTTCCCCAGAATGGTAGACAAGACTTCTGGCTCTTCTGGGGCCAAGTTGTCCAGTCAAGTTCAGGCCATCATGCCTGGAGGAATGTAGAGGTTTGGAAAGGGTCCAGGACTCTCCATGACAGTGAAGAAAGGACTGGAAACCAAGGCAAACAGTGGGTTGTGGGAGTCTCAATGGGACTTACAACAGTTTCCAGCGTGGAGGCCCCCTGCGATGCTGGTGACAGCATCCAGCTGCTTCCTCCCTCTCCCGAGGGCCCCAACAAGGGGGAGATGTTTAATTGTGCTGGGGAGGGTAGAACTCAGATTAACACCTTCTGCCCTGAAGAAGTTTAACACAAAAACGGCCTCCTTGGGGAGGGTACAGAAACACTCTGCCTAGATCCTTAAGGAAAACCTGCATAAAACAGTCACAAAACCCTCATCTTTACAGCATGTGGCCCAAAGGAAGCCTCTGTAAGTGGCAGCTAGTATTATTGTCCCTTCTTGATCTTATGCTGTTAGAACAAAAATCTTCTACAGTTTCCAATAAAAGCCAATGGCAAGAAAATGCCTCTGAAGTCGAACAGTGATTATCTCAGTGGGGGCCAGGGATATTGACTAGAAAAAGGCCCGAGAGAACCTTCCAGGGTTTTAGCAGCAGAGATGCGTAAGTATCTGTATAAGAAAAAATTCAGCAAGCTGCACACTCACAGCTGTGCCTATTAAGTACTTTAGTGTCACAACTCAAGAGAAAAGCTTGAAAGGAAAAAAACAGACAAAACAGAACCTTTGCGACTGTCAGAAATTCTTTTTTGTGTGTGTTGAGTCCAATAAAACTTTCTGTGATGATGAATATGTTCTCTCTCTGCGCTTTCCAGTAGTCATATGTGATTACTGAGCACTTGAAATGTAGCTAATGTGACCAAAAAACTAAATTTCTAATTTAATTTAGATCAATTTCAATAATTGCACATGGCTGGTGGCCACATTACTGCACAACACAGCTCTAGGTTATCAGGAACCTCAGATGCAAAGATTTTTTCTTTTTATCGCCCTCAAAGCACTTAATGGATCAGAATGTGTCATATGCACTTTGGAAGCCAAGTAAATGACTAAAAATAACATGCATTTCATAAAATACAAGAGGGGACTGAAAAAAAAAGGAATTATCTTTTGGAAGGCAGGCCCTTGTAGTATACTCAGAATTTGTTCCTCCAGATAAAACAGGCAACCAGGTTTTGTTTTTTTTAGTTTGTTTGTTTTGAGTTGAAGTCTCACTCTGTCACCCAGCCTGGAGTGCAGTGGCACACTCACAGCCACTGCAGCATCGACCTGCTGGGCTCAGGTGAGCCTTCTACCTCGGCCTTCAAAATAGCTAGAACCACAGGTGTGTGTCACCACACCTAGCTAATTTTTTTTATTTATTGTAGAGACAAGGTCTCACCAAGTTGCCCAGGCTGGTCTCGAACCCCAGAGCTCTTGCCTCTGCCTCCCAGCTATGCGCCACCATGCCCAGCTAACCAAAATTTTTACCTGGAAGTTTTGAGAGTAGCATCATAATTTGCGATAGAAATGTCCCAAGTTACAGCGAACAGGTGACTGGTTCTTCCACTATGCTAACACACCTGCCCATAGTATGCTGAGTATTCAGCAATTTTTGACCAAAAACAGCATAACCTCTATGCCCCGCCTTCCCTATTCACCTGATCTTACCCTGAGTGACTTTTTTTTCTGTTTCTCCAAATGAAAAAAGTCCTCAAAGGGAAACATTTTGCCAATGTGGAAGAAGTGAAATAAAAAACGGCATAAGCACTAAAAGATATCAAAATTGACAAGTTCAAAAACTGTTTTGAGCACTGGAAAAAGCATCTTGATAGGTGTATTGCATCAAACAAGGAGTACTTTGAAGGTGACTGAAGCTTAAATATGTAAGAATACACAATTTTTTATAAATAAATTCCAGTGTTTTTGGGGTGCCCCCATAAAATATCATAGAGAAATAAATAGGAATGAACTACTGATACATACAGAATGGATTAATCTCAAAAATATTATCTTGAATGAAAGAAGCCTTATACAAGGGCATTCACTATAGGATTCCATTTACATGATGTTCTAGAAAAAGTCAAAGTAACGTAAAACAAGTCACAGCAGTGGTTGCCTCAGGAGTAGAGGGAGTCGACTGGGAAGGGATAGAAGATAATTGTTTGGGATGGTGGAAACATTCTCTTTCTTGGTGGGGTGTGGTGACACCAGTGTGTACAATTGTCAAAACCCAGACTGTAATCTTAAGATTTTTATGTTTGATGTAAATTATACCTCAACTTAAAATACACACACACACACACACACACACACACACACACACACACACACACACACACTTACATAATAAACAAGATTTACAAAGCACTTTTCACATATGTTTTGTCATTTTTCAATACCCCCATGTCGGCACCTTGGGGCAGACATTAAATCTGACAGATAAATAAAATAGAAAGATATGCCATTTGTCTTCGCAGTAGTCCAAATAGGCAACCTCAAAGCCATGCCCTTGTCACCATGCCATCCAGCCTTCCTAATGGATCCAAGTCATTCATTCTCAGAGTGCCATTCCCTACCCATGTCACTCCCGGGAGGCCTTACCAAAACGCGGCCATCAGCTTTGGGCTGCCGTGCCAGGCTCACCCCCATCCACTCATCATCCCGGTCTTCCCGGCAGGTCTTCCCACAGGGCGTGCCCCGACTCTTCCCTGGAGGAAAAAGAGAAGAGCCAGACTTGCGTTGAGGAATGACGTTCTGCTGGCTGCTTTTCAGAGGGTGGTGGTCCAGACCCACATGTTTGTTATCCAGGAGGAAGTAAGACACTTGAAACAAAATATAAGTCAACTCTGTCACTACGCACAGTACGCTGTTTAATCCAGTCAATTATTTTTTACACAGTAAGACTTTCTCAATGAAGAAGCAGTGCATTGATTTTGGTTCTGAAAAAAGCTCCTTCATCTGTTATGTACCAGTAACAAACAGTTCACAAGTCAGTCATTTTGAGGAGCACTAGAGAACACCATGGACATCTCGCCTTTTCTGCTAAAGAAAATCATGCCAACCAACCCTTTATTTTAAAATAATAATAATTGGAAGATCTTGATGGGAAAGGACTTTGGAGGAAGTGAAGACTTGAAGCAATAATAATAAAATAATTCCTATTTGCAAAGTGCCTACTATGTGCCGAGCACAGTTCTGTATACTCACCTCTCTTGTCTTACTTAATCTCCTCAAGATCATCTTGGTGAGGTGGGTATCTTAGTCTTGATTTTACAAGTCAGGGAACTGAGGCCCAAGAGGCTACAAGAACATTCCCAATAAGCCCCAGCTGGGCTTTGAACCCAAGCAGACCCATCTGATTCCAAAGACGTTGGATTTTCCACTAGATCAAAGTGAGCTTTTTTGTGTGTGAGTTGGAGTCTCACTCTGCCCAGACTGGAGTGCAGTGGCCGCTCCCGGCCACCGCAAACTCGACCTCCTGGGCGCCGGTGGTCCTGCCGCCTCAGCCTTCCAAGTAGCTGGAACTACAGGCGCGCGCTACCACACCTGGCTAGTTTTTGATTTATTTGTTTTTTTGGTTTTTTTTTTTGAGTTGGAGTCTCACTCGGTCGCCCAGACTGGAGTGCAGTGGCCGCTCCCGGCTACCGCAGCCTCGCCTGATTTATTGTAGAGATGAGGTCTCACCAAGATGAGGTCTTGCCCAGGCGGGTCTCGAACCCGCGGGCTCATGCAATCCACTCACCTCAGCCTCCCAAGGAATGCGATTACAGGCTGAGCCACCGAGCCTGGCCCAAAGTGAGCTTTTAAAGATATCCATCCGATCGTATCCTTCCCTACTTAAAATATAAAACCTAAAGTTGATGTAAGGTTCACACAGAATAAAATCCTAACACCTTGCCCTGGCCTGTTAGGTCCCGCGTGGTCGGACCCCAACCTGCCTTGCCAACTTCCTCTGCTCCCCATTCCACTGCTCCCCACACTGCACTTCAAAATAGGGCACCTTTACTTGGAGATTCTGCCTCCTGCACCTGCCCGGCTAACTGCTATGCATCCTTCTAATCGTGTTGAAAGATTCTCAGAGAGGGAACCCTGAACCTTCAATCTAGACTAACTCAAATACTCTGGTCTTCTGTGACACAATGATTTGCCTTAATGCCTCTGTGACCACTAGTTTATGAAGCCCAGGATAGCAGGATACTTCTCTGTTTTGTTCACTGCTGTATCCAGGGCTTTGCAACGATTAGGTACTTAATACATATTTGTTCGACAGACAGATGAGTTAGTGAGTGAATGATCACCCTGGAAAGAAAAAAGAGCCACATGTGAGGGTGCAGAACCCACTTCCACCTTGGCAGTGATGTCCACCCACCTCGAGCCATGTCCAGTTCGGTACATCTCCGGTCAGGGTTGGTATGAACACGGCACTTAAACACAGCCCCAGGGGACTTCACTGAAGTGCTGTATTTGGAATCTGCCTTCGGGGCACCCACCAGGACCCTGCAAAGCAAGAGGAAAGGACATTCTGTCACCACCCAGTACAAGAAAAGAGGAAGCCAATGGTTAAATCCTCACCCAGCCATGGGGGGAACTGCTGAATGCTCATTGAGAAACCATATTATTATACTGTGCTAGGTGGGCTTGGGGGAGGGGTGGTCTTACAATGACCCTGTTAGATCTTCTCCAGGCACATTAAAAAGTTAACAAAATGATTCCTGTCCACAATCTACAAAGAACTCCTACAAATCAATTAAGACAAATACAGAAAAATCAATAGACTAATGGTCAAAGCCTTGAACAGATACGTCATGAAAGAGGATAGCCTGATGGCCAATAAACACATAAAAAGGTGCTCAACAACATGAGTTATTAGGAAAATCTGACTTCACACCAACCAGAAGGCTAAAACCAAAAAGGCTGAACATGCTAAGTGCTGACAGGATGTAGAGCAACTGGAGTCTTCATGCATTGCTGGTGGGAGTAGAAACCATTAAAACTTTGGAAAACTATTCACCAGGTTCTAATGATGCTCAAACGCACCTACCCCATGACCCAGTAATTCCATGTCTAGGAATATACCCAATGGAAATGCATGCATGTGTCTACTAGGAAACATGCAAGACTTTCAAAGCTGAAGAGGTCACAGTCAAAAACAAGAAGAGACCCAAAGGCTCATCAATGCCAGACTGGATAAGGAAATCATGGTATAATCATACAATAGAATTCTACACAGCAATGAAGTCAATGAACAACACCCAATGACAACCACATTGACGAATCTCAGAAGTATAACACTGAAGCAAAGATGCCAGTTACAACAGCACACTCACTGATTCCATTTATCTCAAATTCAAAAGCAAGTGAAATTTAACTATGGCATTAGAGGTCGAGATAAGGTGACCTCTGGGGAGGAGAAGAGGGGCTGTGATCAGGGAGGGAGGCTTCTGTGGGTGCTGACAATGTCCTATTTTTCAACCTCAGTGGTGTGAAAACACACTTGTGATAATTCATTTAATTGTATAGGATACCCACACTTTTCTGGACAGAAAATTCAGAGATGCCATTTCTCTTCTGTCTCTCCCTCTTCTTCTTGCCCCTCAACCACCCACACAACACAGATATTCAGGGGAAAAATAGGAAAAAATAATAGCATGGAATTATAAACAGCTTCGTCTCTCCCAATGCGAAACAGAGACAGAATGGTTTGCATACAAACAGGGGCAAGAATGAAGCTCTGCAACCTTCACCTTGAACTGAAAAGCTGCCTGGGGTGGGCCATACCCAGCAGGAGCCTTCCCTGTCCAGAGGAAGTAGACAAGACCACCCCCTCACCCCGGAAAACAGAAGAGACAGGTTTGGGCCTGTGTGGGTACAGAATGTGGGGGAAATGGCAGTAAGTTCCCCTCCCCCCCCAGATGTCACCAAAACAATTCTGACCTACAGTTTTATGAATTTTTCTGGAAAATAGCCAACTGAAGATGTATAGCAAGCGATACTGAACAACACTAATCAAGCACGGGCTATACTGAGCTATGAAAAATTTGGAAAAGGTCTTGGACAAAGAGACTTTAAACAAAATCCACACTGATGTTCCAAAAAAATTTCAAGCCACTGCTCCATAAGGACATGAGCTGCTCCCTATCCCCGGCAGCCTAGAAAGGAGATGAGACTCACCTCACAAGGGTATTAGGCATATTATGGAGTAAATCATCACCCACATGCCTTGGAAGAGAATGCATTGTCCATTATGTATCTATGGAGAAGGTGTCTAGCACAGGTTGAGATGGTTGCAGGCTGCCTCCCTGGGGATGTAAGAAACCGACCCAGCCTCCCCTCCCTGTGTCCTGAGAGCCACTTTCATCTTGGGATCTCAGTCCTTCACATTCACCCCCACCTTGGCCTCAGAATGACGCTGCACCCCGACAAACTCCAGTTGTGCAAAGGAGCAAACAAGGTATCGATATCATACAACAGAGAAGTCTGAGACCCTCAAAGGGGAATTCAGCAAAGGCTGGCAGACATCACAAGGGATATCGCTCCTAACCTGGTTCAAAGACATGGTGTCAGGGTTCACAGGAAGGTGTATAGGTTCCTTTTAAATTCCCACTGCCCCTGAGCACCCAGAACCTGAAGGATCTCTGAGGAAACAAAGAGCCAGGAAGACCCACCCTTGACTGGGTGTCTCATTCCATAGAGGGTGTGTATAGGATTCTGTGAGGAAGATGCCCTGCCAGAGTGTATGAGAAGTGAGGCTCCCAACAATGAGGGTCCCAGGCTGCCCCACAGCCCCTCAATAATGCCCTAGGAAGCTCCCCTCTGGGTTCTTGCTGGGCACAGCTGCAGAAGTCCCAAGCAAAAGCAGGGATGGGAGCCACAGCCCTTTGGAAATCCAAGCAAGCACTTTCCCCAACAGCCACACCGCCTCCCTCACCCACACAGAGCAATGTGGCCAGCCCCTGGCTGCTCTAACTCAGATGCATGATAACATACAAAACAAAACTCCAGTGAGAAGAAAGTCACATTAAGGGATCAATTTCCCCCCTTGCTTCTGGGACTGAGCTTTAGAGCCATGAGGGCAAGTCAAGGATTGTTCTCGCTAACGCCGGCTGTTTTCACAGGTGAGAAGAATTAGCAGTGTGCCCTCTCTAAACTGCTGAAACATCCTCAGCCTTTCCACAGGTCAGGAGAGTAAAATGCAGTGTACCTCCTCTACCGGAAGACCCCAGGGCAACAGGGCTGGCTCCAAAAATTCCCACCAACTTCAAATTTACATCGGTACAGTGAATAATTGCCATTTGTAATTTATCTAATAAAATATCACAGAAAATAAACAAGGGTGAGAATTCACCGTACAGGAAGGGAAATGGCTACAAGAATCAACAGAATCTCCTGGATTGTGTTCTCCAAACTGGCATTGAAACCCTGGAAATTTCAGAGAGTGCCATTGCTCCAAACTCACAGACAGATTCGTGGGTTATCCACGCAAGAAGAGATCCTAGAGAGCTTAATTCCCAGGCACTGCTCCCCCCAGCCTAGAACCAAGACCGAGGGGGCTTACGCTAAAATCTAAAGTGAAGAAGGGACGCTGAGTTTTTATTTCCTTTCAAGTCCCAGGTACTCAATAATAGTTCTAACAACAATGGTTGATTCGAACCCTGATAACAAAACTCTGGTTCAAAATTTCTAATCAGTTTGTCAGATGAGACGGTTTCCCCGCAATACTGTGCAGCGGGAAATGAAGCGAGAGATGGGGGGATGCGCGCACACACGCGCTCATGACACACAGAGGTGGGGCGCTGGAGGATGTGTTTGTATCTTGTGTTCACAGAACCGCTTGGCTTCCTCTATAGCTCGGCACTGCTCTGTACTGCCATCCAGCAAGACTGCACTGCAGGCAAGCCCACAAGCAAGTCTTTTCTGAAGTTAATTCAGCTGGTTGTTTGCCAGGCAGAGCCCAAGAAACAGAGAGACTACGGTGGCCCAGAGTTCAAGACAAGCCCCTGAAAAGATGCCATCTGTTTTTTCTCTCATCATCCTCTGAGTTAAAAGAGACAACCCAGCCACTTCAAACATGCTGCAAACTCTTCCCTGGTACTCTTGATAAGGCAATGTGTCTTTCTTCTGTAGAGTTTCCATATAAAAGAGCCTCAGTGGCCCCACCAGCAGGATCCCATCAGTAAATCATCAAGCTGACTCTCACCTATGTTTGCTACTCCAAGTGTGGTCCTCTGATCAACGGCATGGGGAACAACACCTGGAGCTTGATAAAAATGCAGACTCTTAGGCCCCAGCCTATTAAATCAGGATGCATTTTAACAAGCTCTCCAGGTGATTTATAGTCTAAGAAGTACTCTATAACCAGCTACACAAATTAAAAATAATCAAGATCACTCTTGAGAAGTGAAGCCCTCCTCCTATTTCACCCCCAGTTAAAGATGCCACACACTTCAAAGACACTTGAGAGTCCTCTCATTAACTCAGGACTCTGGATTTCTGATTAGGGCAGCCAGCACCCAGCAGGTACCCAGAGTGTGCAGGTGATGGGTGAGGTCACTATAAGCAGTATTGAATTTGGTCTACATGGCAACCCTGTGAGAGGTATGAGAATTATTCCCATTTTACAGACAGGGAGGCAGGTGGCCAGAGGTGGCCATGGTACTTGATCCAGCCCACAAAGTGTGTTCAAATGCCAAGCTGCAACATGCACCCTAGCAGTCGAAACCATCACCCACTTGCTATTCTACCTACCCCATGTCAGCCAAAAAGGTGGAAACAAGAACCAGAAGGTATCCAGTGCCCTCTCTGGTGCCAGCTACTCATATATGTGCCCTCCACCTGAGGAAAGCCCTGGTGAAGATCTGGGGGCAGCTCTGACGTTGGAACTTTTTTTTTTTTTTGAGTTGGAGTCTCACTCTGTTGCCTAGGCTAGAGTACCTAGGCACAATCACGGCTCACCACAGCCTCGACTTCCTGGGCTCAGGGAGTCCTTCTGCCTCAGCCTCCCAAGTAATTGGAACTACAGATATGTGCAACCATGCCTAGCTAATTTTTTTAATTTTTTTTTTTGTAGAGACGAGGGCTTTCTATGTTGCCTGGGTTGGTTTAAAACTCCTGGGCTCAAGCAATTCTCTCACCTCTGCCTCCCAAAGTGCTAGCATTACAGGTGTGAAACTTGGATTTGGAAGCTCCCTCATGTTAAAGAACACTCTCACTCTGGGGTTTGGAGGTAAGAGAAGCCTTTCTCCTCCCCTCAGGCTTTGGTGACCCAAGAGGTGAATCTCAATCACCTCCTTGCTTTTTCAAAACAGTGACATTGCTGTCAAGGTGTTAACCTCTCACAATAAGTAGTTTACAAACCTCTCCAGAGATTTGGGCCCATCTGATCATCTGTCAGCACCAGTTATGCTCACAAGAGTGCTTTCCTGTTGGGCAGTCTCTCATGTATATTCCACACAGAGATGTTGGGTCACTTTGCTGGTAAGTGACAGAGCTGGGATCTG